ACCGGAACAGTTCATTGGAAGTATCTTTCTTGCAAAGAAAATGAACATCACACCTTCAGTCAGAACTAACTGGAACCCTCCTGGTGTCCTCAGCAGAAGGATGGGACTCAAGGACTCAATGGACATGGAAACTAAGATACCTTCTTACTCCTAGGGTGGCGTCTCACCTTAAAGACCCAGGATGGGACAGTGTATGCAGCTTGCACTGCTGGTTTGTCTTGTGGATAAATAGGAGACTCCACTTTCTGGGCACATACTGTAACCAGCGCTAGATCTACAAACACTGGGATAGATTCACTCCCCAGAAGATCCCTTGGCAGCAGAATTAGGATGTAGTAGTAAGGTGAAGTGGTGGCTTCACTAGTGGGTGAAGCTGCCTGGCCCAGTCTCCCACTATGGGAGGAGGCAAAGCCAGGTTGATTCAGCCTTTTTCCTGGGAAGTCTCTGCTGATGGGGCTCCTATAACGTCTCAGCGAAACTGAACGCTGCCCTCCCCCATGCAGTCCTAGCCTACACAGTCGGCCCAGAAAGCAGGGATACTACCCTTATGTCCCTGGAGGGGTGAATCTATGTCACTGTTTTAAATGGTAAGAAGTCCATTTTGCTTGAATCATGCACGTTTGGGGCATGTATTGTTGTTTGATTCCTAAACCTACAGGCTGGCCTGGGTGCATGAAATGAACAAAAACCACATAGGCTAAGAAAACGTTGGGAAGAAAATGTTAATGGTTGGAGCAAAGATGGGCTCCTGCCACAAACCCAAGATCCAGATCTGAACTACTCCAATGACCTGGTATATTTGGCCTTGAAGTTTTGGTTCAAGGGGAAAGATTTCTCTTATTTAGGGGGAAAGATTTTCTCAGTGTTCATAAAACACGCATTAAACTGGGAAAAATGTGTCACCTTAATGCACTTTTTAAAAAGCAGTTTCCATTTTACCAAGCATGTTATTTTACAGCAAACTTCAAATGACCATACACCTGCCATGAGTCTGACCACCAAAACCATAAAACCTATGATGCATTTTTAACAGGACACTATATATATATTTATATAGTGTTACTGTAAACGGATTTTGTTTCCTGTATACTTCTTGTCATATCTTAAGTTCAGTCTGTGTTATTAGTGTTTTCTCCCAGACAAGGAGTGAGTGCTATAGCTTTGTCCACTGTTTCCTGGATGGCTGCATTAATTTGATTGACTCAAGATCTATGGTGACTTCTAAAGAAGATTAAATTACACACTCCCTCTTGCCCATGTGCTGCTTGAGATTACGTCCAGCAATTTCTCAAAGAGAAGCAATTAGATGACTACAAATTTAATAAACCCTAATTATTTTGTTTGTACAAACAATAAAGCCAAAATTATTTGTGCAACAAGGACTGTCTGCAAGGTGGGAGGATCCCACGGAAATGCTACCTAGCCTTAGAAACAACCAGCTTTGGATTTCCTATTTATTCTAAAAATGCTCATGGAATATTTTCAGTTGGCTAGGAGCCAACCTTCAAAGGTTACATGTGCTAGGTGCACTACAGACACATATACATACATGTTACCCCGTCACGGGCACCTGCCAAAAACTCACAGCAGCTGATACAATTTCCTGCAAATGTTTTTTTTTGGTTGGTCTATAAGATATCACTCTTTATGGGATAATGATCTCTTTGTGTTCATCTCGGGGGAAGGTCTAGCGAGGGGCATGTCCTCAGTAGACAAGAAGAATGAGAGAGGGAGTGAGTAGAAAGAAGCACATTAATATAAACGGAAGAGGCTCTGACATTGACAACATTCAGCCATGCAATGGAATGGAGGCAGAACGACATGGAATGAGACTGGCAGCATTTGTGCCCCTCTATACCCCGACCCCAAACTATTAAAACATGGAAGATGAAATGAGAATCACCAAGAACAACACATCATAGAAGCAGATCAATTCAGCACCTGATATTCTGCCCCTGCTGCTGCTCCTATAAGGCTTCTATAAAGAGGGATGTCACAAATCATCCAAGCCGAAATTCACCCCCTGAGCAGAGGATCAGCACATGGCCTAGGCACCATTCAAGTCCCCCAAACAGGGCTCTGCTCTTACTGCACACATGCTAGGGGAGTGGATTTTACAAGTTATGAGGTGATACAGCCCATTCCCACGAGTGGTGCAGTATTTCAGGTACAAGTTAATTAACTCAGGACATTATTAGTCATTCACTCAGAGAATTTTCATTTGCTGCAGTTCTGAAGGATACAAACAACATAAAATGTATATTTAAAAAAATTCTTCACTCAGCTACTGACACCACCATAGATCATTTAACCTGAATTTTAAAAAGCAACTACAAATATTTTAAAACTCTCATTTGCAGCTCCCTATTTATACTTTTTGTCCTTCTCCCAGCTCAGATAGCACTGAGACCAGACTGGTCAATGTCACTTTCTAATTCTCGTGAGCTAGAAACAAATGCTGTTATGTCAAGGGATGTTTAACTCATAGATGTATTTCTGGTCATAACGGACCCAATTCTGCTTTCAGTGGCAGCAATATGAATCCGGGATAACTCCATTGAGGTCCATGGACCGTCACTGGTGTAAGGGGGTGTAAATGACAGCAGCATCTGGATCATTAGCATTTCTAAATCACCTGGTACCTAGAAACGCCTGACAATGTTCTTTTAGGTGCAAAAGGAACTACTGTATTCTCACCCACAGCGCGTTCTGGTTCTTTTTCTGAATTTCTTTGTCTCTCTCCCTTTGCACTGCGTAGTCGTTCAGAAGTCAGGGAAGGGCTTCAGTGCTTCTCGGCAGGGATGATTTGCCTAGTGTGGGCCTAACTGATACTAACCTGCCAATATTTCATGCAGGTATCATCGGACATTACCAGTGCACATACTAGTACTTCACTAGGATATGAACTGGGTAGGGCTTTACCGCATCTTTTGTACACCTGGGGAATAGCCTTGCTGCACTGGGAAGCCTTGGCATGGGGAGGATTTAGGGAGGACAAGATCCGCATGTGCATAACAAGGAGACTTAATGCCAGGTGTGAGTGTTTAGCATCCCTTAACAGGAATGGGATGTGGTTCTCAGAGGGAGAGATCAAGAGTTATTTGTGTGGTGATATAATCACAAAACTCATTATTCATTCATTTAACTTTGCATTGTCTAAATAAAGTCTCAATCTGTACCATCTAATAACAAGGCAGATGAGATGATGTGAAGTGGGAACCAACTTTATTTATGAACCAAGCAAATGCTGGCAGAGATAAAAGGCTTGATTCAATCCCATTAAGGGCAATGGAAAGACTCAAGATCGGGCCCCAAAAGAAGAACTGCGCCTTAACTTTAATCAAAAGCTGGTGTTTTCTTCTTTTCTTTCAAGCCTATCTCTTTTTGTCTCTTCTACTGTCTCTGCTCTTTGTTGTTTCAGCCTTTTATGGGAGTCCCAAGAGAAATTCCTTCACAGAATGCTGCACAGAATCAGGGCTTAGTCTAATAGCTTTAGGCAAATTACCTTATTTTACCTACAATTTTTCACTTGAAGGGACATGGACTGGATGAGCTAAATTAAAATTCCAAAATGTGAATTAGGAACCTGTGACACACTGTACCCCACAGTAGCACCCAGTAATCCCCATATTCATCATTCATATATGGGTGTGTTGTATGGGTGTTCATACAAAGCGTGCCATGTGAGATATCTGCTGAGACCCATTGTTCTGTCAAAATATGTATATCGTTAGTGTGTATGAAATTATGAGATTCTGTTATATGGTTAGACTCCTTGTTGAAATATGTCGTGAGTTTGGGAGTCGCCCACTGATAGTTCTCCAGTAACAACAAAAGAGCTGACCAGCACCCAGGCCAGCCTTAAACAACTATTAATCAGTAGGGGACATATAAACAAGGGATTTACAATTCTGTAAGAGAGTTGTGCAAGCACCACACAATGTGATTCAGTTACACAAGACCGCACTAGGGGGACTGCTCAATTCTGGAACTCTGCAAAGACCACCAGGCTAGTGTTGACTTCCAATGAGATTTAGGCTCCTAAGGGCTAAATCTACAAAGGGGACTTAGGCTTAGCATTGCAGTGCATAATGTTTAGGCATCCTGCTGCCTAATGGAATCCACGGCACCGAGTTAGGTGCCCAGACTCCCCATATAATGCACAGGGACAGATAGGCACCTAAGAACAGGATTCATAAAAGCCAGCACACCGAGGGGAGAGCTACCTAACACAGCCAATAGGGAATGCTGAGGAGAGGACGTAAGCTCCTAAATTATTAGGTACTTTCAAAAATGTTCACCCTCATCTACACAGGAGATGGACAGACATCCAGTTCCTACGCTTCTGTGATGGTAGGATAGTCCAAGGGCAATACTCTGAGAGTAGAAGGAATTTAATTCCCTTAAAAAGGAAACGGCTTCTCCTTTTTAAACTTGGGGTATGTCTACACCAGTGTTTCTCAAAACTCTTTACCACTGTGGGCCGCATATGCCGTTCTCCTCTATGTGTTATGTGGGACACATCCACACAATCTATGTACTACCTGTATGGCCCTGAGGATGTCATGTGGGCCGCAGCTGTGTGCTAATTGGGCCGCAAGCGGCCGCGGGTTAAAAACCACTGGTCTACACTATAGCTGCTACAGCCGCTCAGCTACAGCATTGCATCTGTGTCGCTTACAACCGAAGTGTAGCCTATACCAATTGAATGGATTTTTCTGCTGAAGTAGTTAACCCAACTCTCCGAGAGGCGGTAGGTAGGTCAACACAAGAATTCTTCCATCGACCTAGCCCTGAACAACGTAGCTCGGTTGATCTAATTTTTAAATGTACACCAGGCCTTGTGGACGAGCAGTTTCCTTATTAAGGTACTTTACATAGACACTTATCCTAATGCAACCAACTCTTTTCAAGAACCTTAAAAAATCTCATTTAAAAGTAATTACCTGTGAAACTTCTAATCTAACATTTCTGAGTTTAATGATTGGAAAATATTGTACCTTTCTGAATCCATCGGGTTCTTCCAAAGATCTAGGAGTCTGTTAAAAAAAAAATAATGAAAAAAATAAACACAAACACAAAATACCATGAACCTGAGATCCCAGTGGAACCTATAACGGAATATTCATTTCACAGGGGGAACATTTCTTTCAAATTTCTGGTCATCTGGATAGGCTGAAACAGCAGGTGACTGGTGTTTAATGAGCTTTTAAATGCACATCAGGAATAAAGCCCAAATGGATTTTGTTTCCTAACAATGTAAGTCAGATGCAGTGTTACCTAAGAAATAGCTTTGATTTTACTGACACCTATTGACTAAATGTATTCTTACACAAGGTACTTGGGCAAAAAATGTACCACACAATAACTCTGATTTTACAATATTTCTCATTAACAGAGACTGCTCTTCACCTCCACTGCAAATCAAAGAATTTGTGTTCTAAATAAATACTTTCAATTTGAAACTCGTTGACAGCTTCTTTGAAGACTAGCGGAGAAGGACAAAAATTAAAGATTTTCTCCCACACCTTACAGCCAAGATGCGCATTTGAAGAAGTGGGTTTTAGCCCATGAAAGCTTATACTCAAATAAATTTGTTAGTCTCTAAGGTGCCACAAGTACTCCTTGTTCTTTTTGCTGATACAGACTAACACGGCTACCACTCTGAAATCTAAATATTGAGTCATTTTAGGTGGATCTTTTTTCAGGTGCCCAAGTTACAATACTTTAAAGAGGATTTATTGCCAAAAGTGCCAGGTACCCACAATCTGAAAACCAGACCTCAAAATTTGGCACCCAGAATCACTAGTCACTTCGGAAAATCAGAACTTAACTATGCAAATTTATGCTAAAACTAACTGCAAATATCTTTATCATTATTTGCAATAAACCACTACCCCGATATAACGCGACCCGATAGAACACAAATTCGGCTATAACGCGATAAAGCAGCACTCCAAGGGGGCGGGGCTGCGCGCTCCGGCAGATGAAAGCAAGTTCGATATAATGCGGTTTCACCTATAATGCGGTAAGATTTTTTGGCTCCCGAGGACAGCGTTATATCGGGGTAGAGGTGTATTTGTTACTGGATAAACTCCACCTTCTTTACAGTGCTTTCATATACAACTCTCTGATATAAAGCTTTATGTTTACCCAGACCTATACTTTGGTCCTCACATTAAAATCCATTACAATTGTCTATGACATCAGCTCTTTATACCATTCCAAATGCTTAGCCCATGAAGCGAATGTTATAAAGAATCTGGCTCCTTCTGTAGTTTCTTTCTGAAACAATCTGCTCTGTTCTTGACTATACTGATCACAGTGGCTCACAGAGCACCACAGAACAAAAGACAATTATACAAATAGAGTTCTGTGGACATATAACCTTGTTACAGTAATTGTGCAAAAGAACATTCTGTAGGGGAGAGAAGGAAGCCCCTGATTGAGAGTTCCTCATTACATGTCTTAGAGAAAGTTATATATTACACACACCAACTATGAGTTGGGGATTGGGCCTGCTTTGAGTAGGGGGTTAGACTAAATGACCTCCTGAGGTCCCTTCCAACCTGGTATTCTATGATACATGGTGTGAGGACCCAGGGACTAGAACCCAGGTCTGTAGAATGTAGGAGAGTTGATATTCCCACAGTACCACTAGGAGGCCATAAAGAGGCATAGCCAGGGAGCACTGTGGAGAGTAGGTGCCGCAGGAAATACAACCCAAGAGACTCAGACTGACAATACCCTGCAGCCCTCTGTTTGGCCAAGTGCTCCTACTTAACCCCAGTGGTTGCCCCAGGAAGTTGTCTGGGCAACTACACAGATTTCAGTCTGCTGCAATGCCAGACTTCGCCTTTACTCCTGATCTCTGACTCCAGCTGACTTCAACCCTGATTCTTGCCTCTCAGTTCTAACCTGGTTCTGCCTCTGATCTCCAGTCTCTGATCCTGGCACTTGTTTATGAGACCTAGCCTTGCGATTCCTCCAACTCCAGCCCAGCAACTCCTGTCCCTGGTGGACAGACCTCAGCCCCGCTGAGACCACTAGGCAAGACCATCTACGCCTCAGTCCCTTACATTATATCATGTTAGATGAGATCACAATTGGGCCAAATCTGAAGTCTTTACTCAAGCAAAAGTAACAAGCATTGCTTGTGTGGAGATAAAGAGGCCACAGGATTTCTAACTGAATATTGAAAGTGTGTGTATATATAAATACATTCAATTGACTTCAATGGGATTACCTATATGCTTAAAGTTAAGCATATGTTTATGTCCTTGCTGGATTGGGACCATATTTGTCAAAAAGCAGTGGTTACTTAAAAGAATCATGGAAAAGTACTACAGTGTCTTTAATACTAACAACTCTGACACCTGTTCACCTACCAATGAGCTGGTGGAGTCTTTGAGTTTAGATTTGTAGAGCATCCATTGATAACGCAGGTCCTCCACATCTTCAGAGGTCCCAACAACTGTCTGAAGACTACGGAGATCTTCGAAAAGACGTTGCCCCTCAGGAACACGAGACTGCAGCTCCTTCAGGGAAAGACAAGCTCATCAGCAACATGGCATTTAAAGGAATCACTGCCTTGCCAACACAAGAGATTTCGTCATTTTAAAGGACATTAGCATTGCATCCAGTTGGTGGGAACTCTGCATTTACGTTTATGCATTTATTTTTATTTTGCTATCACATATTCATCTAGATGGTCTACAGCTGCAGAATTTCTCCACATTGAGGATTTTTATTGTTAGGTTTGCTCTAATAGTTGTAATTGTTGGTGGATTTTATTGCATTGGTTATAAGTATTAAAATGCTGAGGATAAAGAATAAAAGACAGATTTTAGCCAGAAATGTTAGAATATCTGTGCCAAACAAGGCTGTTTGTGACATGGGAAAATGTCTTACGCTAATGCTGTAGTGTGACTCTGCACTTTCCATTGCAGCATGGCTGCTCTTACAGATCTCCCCTAAAAGAGTGGAATATTTGTGGAAAACTCCAATGCTTCCCAGGACACCCACCTCGCCTGTGAGTTTTATAGAAGGGAGATGTGATATGGCCCTGGATGCTGATTTTAGCTTTTAAATAATTTGGAAAGGCTCCTGGCCATATTTCAGCCCCTGTACTGTGGAGGAGGATGAAAGTCTTGGGAAAGAAGAACATCAAGCTGGAATGGAGGGAAAAGATACCATAGTTGGGACCCTCCTTCCAGATGATATCATGGTATCCTCTTGCACTGAGGATACCCCTACGGGGGAGGGAATCCCAGTTGTAAGACACAAACAGATAATAGTAACCAGGGATTCAGCTATTAGAAATATATATATGCCGTATATACTCGATCATAAGCCGGTTTGTTTATAAGCCGACCCCCCCCCCCCTGAAGTAAAAATGGAATTTTTTTATAACCCGTTCATAAGCCGACCCTATAATTCAGGGGTCAGCAAACTTTGGCTCCCGGGCCATCAGGATAAGCCGCTGGGGGGCCGAGATGGTTTACCTCGAGCGTCTGCAGGCACAGAGGTAAATCTAAGTAAACAACGTGTCCCGGCCTTCCAGTGGCTTACCCTGATGGGCTGGGACAGCAACTGGTGGGGAAATTTTTTTGGGGGGGAGAAGTGGGGAGTCAGGGGAGTAATCCCTGTGACCATCCCCCACATGACCCCAGCCCTAGCCCAGGACCCCCACACTCTCCCCATCCCATCCCTTCCCATCTTATCTGGGGAGAGCCAGGGGAGGATGTCTGTGGCCTGGCTGGAGCTGCTCCGGCAGGCTGGGCAGCGCGGCCGCAGCCTGCTCCGACGGGCCAGACTGGGCGGCGTGGCCGCAGCATGTTCCAGCGGGCTGGGCGGCACGGCCACAGCATGCTCCGGCGGCGTGGCCACAGCCTACTCGTGGGGGGGCGGGGGCCGAGCGGCAGGGCTGCAGCTGCTTTGGAGGCTGGGGGGAGAGCAGCGTGGCCAGAAGCGGAGAGACTCTGGCCCCGCCTCTTCCCTTCTGTCTCTGCTGGCTGTGCTGCCTCTCCTTGCTCCCTCTGTCGGGGGGAGGGGCTGTGTCCCCCCTCTCCCTCTCTATACCCGTTCATAAGCCAACCCCCTTCTCTGGTGCTTCCCTTTTTTACTAAAAAAATTCAGCTTATGAACGAGTATATACGGTAGTTGGTTTGTGATGACCAGGAGAGCCACATGGTGAATTGCCTGGAAGGTACAAAGCTTGTGAACCTCTCGAGACATCTAGATAGACATAAGTTCAGTGCTGGGGAGGAGTGGTGGTTGTGGTATATGTAGGTACCAGTGACATAGGGAAACGTAATAGAGAGGTCCTCGAGGCCAAATTTAGGTTGCTAGGTAAGAAATTAAAGTCCAGGACCTCCATGTAGCATTCTCTGAAATGCTTCCAGTTCCACAGGCAAAACTGCACAGTCTCAATGTATGGATGAGATGATGGTGTTGGGAGAAGCAATTTAGGAACTGGGGAATCTTTTGGAAAAGGAGGAGCCTATACAGGAAGGATGGGCTCCACCTAAACCAAAACGGAACTAGATTGTTGGCATGTAAAATTAAAAAGGTCATAGAGAAGTTTTTAAACTAAGAGATAGTGGACAGCTGACAGCTGTGAAGGAGCACACAGTTCAGACAGAGGATAGGTAATACATTCCTTAGCAGAGGATTGATTAAAGAGCATACCTCTATATCCTAGTAAAGAGGAGAGGATAGAAAGTGATAAAGTAGAGGTAGTAACTGAAGAGAAACAGTCAAATGAAAAAGAGTCCCATTCAATTGCATCACATGAAGGCAGACAACTAAATATTGACAAATTTTATAAGTGCTTGTATACAAATGCTATAAGTCTAAATACTAAAATGGGAGAACTTGAGTGACTGGCATTAAATGAAGATACTGATATAAAAGACATCACAGAAACTTGGTAGAACAATGATAATCAATGGGACATGGTAATACTAGGGTACAAAATATATAGGAATGACAGAATAGGTAGTACTGGTGGGAGAGTGACATTATATGTGAAAGAAAGCATAAGAGACAAATATAGTACAAATCTTAAATGAATCAAACTGTATCTTAGAATATGGTACCTTAGAAAGTCCAAACTTGAATAACAAGAGTATAGCAGTAGGAATATACTGCTGACTAACTGACCAGGATGGTGGTGACTGTGAAATGCTCAGGGAGATTAGACAGGATTCACAGATAAAATTTCTAGGCACCATTAATGACTGCTTCTTGTAGCAGCTAGTCCTGGAACCCACAAGGGGAGAGGCAATTCTTGATTTAGTCCTAAGTGGTGCACAGGATTTAGTCCTAAGAGGTGCATATAGCTGAACCACTCAGTAAAATCAACAATAATATACTTAAGCTTAACATCCTTGTGGAGGGAAAAATATCAAAGAACCCTATCACAGTAGCATTTAACTTCAAAAAGGGGAACTACACAAAAACGAGGAAGCTAGTTAAATGGAAATTAAAAGGAACATTCACAAGAGTGAAATGCCTGCAAGCTGCATGGAAACTATTTTAAAACACCATAATAGAGACTCAAACTACATGTAAACCCCAAATAAAAAAAACAGTAAGAAGACCAAACAAATGCCACCATTGCTAAACAGCAGACTAAAAGAGGGGTGAGAGGCAAAAGGGCATCCTTTAAAAATTGGAGGCAAATAGAAAGGACAATAAAGAGCATAAGCAAGTCAAGTGTAAAAATACAATTAAGCAGGCCAAAAAAGAATTTGAAGAGCAACCCGCAAAAGACACAGAAACAAACAAAACATTTGTTCAAGTACATCAGGAGCAGGAAGCATGTCAATGGATGATCGAGGTGCTAAAGAAGCAACCAAGAAAGACAAGGTCATCACCCAGAAGCTAAATTAATGATTTGAATCGGTAGTTTGATGAAATTAAACAGTAATATGTCATCAAGACCCGATGATATTCACCCAAAAGTTCTGAAGGAACTCAAATACGAAATTGCAGAACTACTATCTGGAATATAGAACTTTTCGCTGAAATCAGCCTCTGTATCAGACGACCGGCAGGGAGCTATTTTAAAAAAAAGCTCCAGAGTTGATCCTGGCAATCGCAGGCTGCGAAACCCAATTTCAGTACCAAGCAAACTAGTTGAAACTACAGAAAAGAACAAAATGACCCGACACATACATGGACACAATACGTTCGGGAAGAGTCAACACGGCTTTTGTAAAGGGAAATCACGCCTCATCAATCTATTAGACTTTTTTGAGGGGGTCAAACATGTGAACAAAGGTGATCCAGTGGATACAGTGTACTTGGACGTTGAGAAAGCCTTTGACAAGGTCCCTCACGAAAGGGTCTTAAGCAAAGCAATGAGTCGAGAGGACCTTCCCTCTTATCCCATAAGTATCAGTAACTGGTTAAAAGACAGAAAATAAATGGTCAGTTTTGAAATGGAATGCAGTAAACAGTGAGGTCCCTCAAGGATCTGTGCACAGTACAACATATTCATAAATGATCTGTAAACAGGGGTGCTGAGAGCCATTGAACCAAACTGTAAACCCTGTATATAATGGAAACCACTTCAAGTCAGGGAGTGCTGCAGTATCTGTGTCTGTAAAAGTGTCAGTGTGGTGGCAAAATCTGCAGATACTAAATTACTGAAGACAGTTAAGTTCATAGCTGACTGTGAAGAGTTACAAAGGGATCTCACTAGACTGGGCAACAAAATAGAAAGATGAAATTCAATGCTGACAAGTACAATGCAATGCACATTGGAAAAGATAATCCCAACTATACATATAAAATGATGGGGTCTAAATTAGTTGCTACCACTCAAGAGAGAGATCTTGGAGTCACTGTAGATAGTTCTCTGAAAACATCCACTCAATGTATAAATGCCACTGTATAAATTCATGGTATGACCACCCCTTGAATACTGCATGCGGTTCGGTTGTCCCATCTCAGAAAAGATATTAGAATTGGAACAAAATACAGAGAAGGGCAACAAAAGTGATTAGGGGTATGGAACAAATTCCATATGAGGAGAGTTAAAAAGACTGGGACTGCTCAGCTTAGAAAAGAGATGACTGAGGGAGGATATGATAGAGGTCTATAAAATCACGAATGTGTGGTGAAAGTGAATAGGGAAGTGTTATCTACCCCTTGATATAACACAAGAACTAGGGGTCACCCAATGAAATTAATAGGCAGCAGGTTTAAAACAAACATAAGAAAGTAGTTCTTCACACAACACACAGTGAACCTGTGGAACTTGCTGCCTGGGGATGTTGTGAAGGTCAAATGTATAACTGGATTCAAAAAAGAATTAGATAAGTTCTTGGAGGATAGGTCCATTCATGCCCATTAGCTAAGATACTTGGGGATGCAACCCCATGCTGCATGTGTCCCTAAACCTCTGACTGCCAGAAGTTGGTACTGGACGACAGGGGATAGATCACTTGATAAAATTGCCCTGTTCTGTTCATTCCCTCTGAACAATCTGGAACTGGCCCCTATGAGAAGACAAGATACTGGGCTAGATAGACCATTGGTATGACCCAGGATGGCCATTCTTATGTTCATCTCGCAACATAATTCCCTACACTCAGAAAATTAGTGTTTGAAAACCAACCTTTAGCTTGCTGTGTATTGCTTTAACTTCTTCACAACTGGAGGGTTTCATGACAAGAATCTTGCTCAGTTTGTCATTTTCTACATGTAACCACTGTTCAAAGTCCTTCATGAGTTTAAGGAGGTGACTGTTCTCTTCCTCTTTGCTCACCTTCACCTGAGTCACAGAACAAAACCCAAACAGGAATTTATAAAAAATGAAACATACATTATTATTACTGCCTTCAGACACCAACAGCCAATCATGTTCCTGCTGAATTCCCATTGACTCCAGTGGGGCATCACCAGGGTCCAGGTCTGGTCTCTCCTGTCTCATCTCAACTGAGGCCAATTCTACAAAGTGCTGAGTGCCTCATGAGAGGTGCTGAGCACCCTCACCTTCCACTGAAGTCTCAAGTCCCACAGGCTCTCAATATAAGGAAGAACTTTAGGTCTGGATTTCCCATGTAGACAAAATCCCCTATGATTTTCATAGGAGTTATGCATGTAGAAGGACAAAATAATTGGAAATGGAGCAGGAGGCACCAACCATCTGTGATTTAAATTATAATTAACTGGTCACAGGAAGGAGATGGAGGGCCAGGTCCTCAGCTGGTGTAAACCATCTGCACTGGAGCTATGCTGATTTATACCATCTGAGAATCTGGCACTGGGTTTGCTCTACTAAAATTTGACAGTGGAATGAGGAATTTAGCAAAACACAGACGGTTCCAGGTGTTTTTTTCCCTAACTCCCTGCCTGGCATAATACTGGCATGTACTATTTACAAGGGTCTCTACTATAACACATACCGTTTCATATCCAAAACAGTACATGTGAGTTTGACTGAGTGACTTCCACTGATTTGTATGGGAGTCATGAAGCTATGCTCCTACATCAGCCTTTGCAAATTGACGATGTCGGATGTGCTTTCTAATGACCCAGTAAGGCTCAGAGCCTTGATCCCCACATTTCAGATGTTTGCTGGACTTTGCAAATTGGAGAGTTTTACATTCGGTACCAGACAGAACCAAGGGAAATGGGCTTTGTAAAGTTATTAAGGAACGCTGATACAGATTATTTCTCTCACCTGGGCGTGCTTGAGAGTTACCGCTGAAGAGCCGAAGGCAAACCCAGTCGTCAGTGGATTACCCACAATGGTTATATTCTTCCCCGTATCAACCACTGTTGTATTTGGCTGCATGCTGCTGAGGAGGCTTGAAAATACAAAATCAGAGAAGTCAATGCAGTGATGCTGACAACTGATACATTCATGGAATGGGGCGAAGGGGTGGGGAACCAAACCAACATACCTATGCTTAAAAATATTATTATTATTTCCTTACTATTAATAAAGTAAGAACAAGTAACAAATCAGCAGTGTTACAAAAAGAAGAACAGGAGTACTTGTGGCACCTTAGAGACTAACAAATTTATTAGAGCATAAGCTTTCGTGGACTACAGAAAGCTTA